CCCATCACATCCTGTCTCCCCTGGTAGTCCCATCTCCCTGGGACTGTCTGGCTGCCTCTTACCTCTAAGCTAAGGCCTTTGCTGACTGAAACCCAGGAGTGAAGTGGCCATCACGAAGGCCATTAGAAGGAATGTAAAGCAAGTTCTTCCCAGTTCCCATTTTTGTTAATTGAGGGATAATGAAATCAAAGACAAGCTGGGCGGGGGTGGTGGTGCATGCTTGTAATCCCAGCCACTCAGGAAGCTGAGGTGGGAGGGCCACTTGTGCCTAGGAGTTTGAGTTCAACCTGGGCAACATAGCAAGATCCCATCTCTACTTTTAGAAAATTACAACAAAATGCACTCTTTTCAGGTGTATAAGCCTATGACTTTGGAAAAATGTATACAGGCATAGATCCACTACCAGCATCAAAATATTGAGTATTTCCATGACCCCAAAAAGCTCCTTCATGCCCTTTTGAAGTCAACTCCCCGCCCCCAACTCCTGGCAAGCACTGATCTGAACTGTAGACCTGAAATGTCGTTCAGAGCCCATTTTACCTGAACCCTTTCCCACATCAATGACTTTGCTAGCTGGCTTTCCTGCCAGGACTTTGCTGTTTCCTTCCTGACTCCTTGGAAGGCTCCCACTGGAGCTCAAATCAGAGTTGGTTGCGTCCACGTGGGTGTTTTGGGGGGGGGTCCTTCTTCTCGTCGCTCCCAGCCTACCCTGGTCTCCACCGCTTACCAACCACTTTCACCAGTATCCTCTGCCTCACAAGGCCCTCCTCCCGAGTGCTGTGTCTTTATTTCCAGCAGAGACACAGTTCTTCCCCCATCCTGTTAATTGTCTCTTGTCCAAGCCAGGTTAACATCTGGCCTTGCTGACCTGCCTCCTCCTGTGTCCTAGTAGCATCATCATCCAGAGTTACCAGGCTAGAACAGTCCCTTTCTCCTGACCCCCATGGTAGGTGGCTACTTTTTTTTTTTTTTGAGGTGGCGTTTCACTCTGTTGCCCAGGCTGGAGTGCAG